GAGGGAAGTTCGGGGAAACTTCAGTTGAGAATTATGCCCGAATTCTGCTCAAGTAGGTCTTGAATCAATTCTCTCCTCTCGCCAACATATGGCTCGATATCACTCGTCGGTGACAGGGGCGCGGCCTCTTGCGTAAGTCGCGACCCCAGGTGAGTCCGCCCCGCGCGGCCCCGCCGCCCCGGCGTGCGTAGGCGGGTAGTTTGGAGGAGGGGGAGGGGGGAGTACCAGCGGACCTACCTGCTTCTCACGCAAGCATAGCCCTCGGACAGTGCTCGTCTCGCTAGACTGACGCGCCGTGCCGCCGCTTGGGAGGAAGGCACTTGCCTCTCGGCGTGCACGCCTCGCGCCGTCCCCCTCGGTACCGAGCTCCCCTCCCCTCGCTCCCCCCTTTCATTTCTCGGCTTTCATCATGACTGCTACTCGTCGGGGCGAGGCGGAGTCTGATCCCTTTGGTTTTGATCCCTGGCGGGTCCCGCGGTCCTGGCCGTCCCCGGGAGGGAAGTGCCTCTGTCGCCGCGCCTCCCGCTGCCGCCCTGGTCAAGCAAACAGGCGTGTCTCCGCGCCCCGTCCCGCTGCCGACGCCGTGACGCATGGCCTGGTGCACGATGCTTCGGGACGCGGTGCGGCGGCGACGCCGCGACGGCATGCCCATCCGTAGGGCCCCGGGCGCGAGGCTAGCTGTCCGGCGTGGCCGCCTTGGCAGTGGTGGGAGGTCGAGGACCTAGCCTCGCTGCAGGCCCGCCGCTGCATGCTGCGGTGTGGTGGTGGCGCTGAGCCGCGGCCGCCCCGCGCTGAGCGCTCCCCGCTGCACCCATGTCGTGTCGCGTCGCTTCGTTTGCCGGCGAGTTTGTGTCGCGCCGCGTCCCGACCCGGCATGGCTTCTAATATCGGATCGATAGCTGGTCGATAGCGAGGTGTCTGGCCGGCCCATTCTCCGGCCTTTTATACGAATCTAATTGTGGGTGGCCGTTGATAGACCCTCTCTTTGCCCTTTTAGCCCTGGGTCAGCACCACTGAGTTTGCAGTATATTCAAGTGGCTAATCGTCTTCTTTTTTTGCATTTCAGGATAAGACAGAAGACCCCAAGAAACACAAGAAGGAAGAAAACGGTGATGACGATGAGGAAATTGAGGAGGATGAAGATGTCGAAGGAGAAGAGGAGGATGAGGAAGACGAATTACAAGGGGAGGAGGATGACCTAGATGAAGCTGAAGGTAAGTCTTTTTCCTGATATGTTTTAATTAATTTATAATTTATTTATTTTTATCAGTGTCGGCATAATTTGTTTCCTTTCTAACTTGCTTTACCTTTGTTCCAGAAGAGGAGGAAGAAGAGGAAGGTGAAGGTGACGGAGATGAAGGTGAAGATGATGAAGGAGCGTAATGTGTGATCAAAAGAGACATTGACTTTTCAGTCTGGAAAAGTGACATGCTACTTACCTTTCCTGCAACGGAACAAGCCTGAGGCTATGGAGTGGCTGCAGACACCGCTGTACTTCCCATTTTATTACTCAGTTGAGGTGTTCGAGTGTGGAGTGTGAGAGTGAATGCGTGAGAATGTGTGTGTGTCGCGCTACACATCTTCAGCCCGATCCACTTCCTATCTTCAGGTTTTATGGTGCCCAATTGTGGAAGGGAAAGGGAGGTATTTTAAAATAATTTAAATTTGACAAATGAATTATTTTATTTAAACCACTTGTAGAAACTGATTATGTGGACTTCATTTTGGTTTCCTGATGTTTATTTTAATTGTGAATTCCCATCCCTAGAATGAATCCTCACTAGCGTAAGTCATGAGATCTACAATGCAGCAGTTTGCCGTTCTAGATAGCTCAGTGAATCAACTGTCTGTCACGTATGTTGTGAGGAATAATTTGTTATTTTTTTATTTTTGTACAAGTTCAGTTGCGGTCATCTGCAGTGCATTTTTAGGTTGTATTTATCTATTTGTATCATATTGTAAGACAAGCAGTACTTGTTTGCATAAATCTTCTTTGTACAAATAATTGGGAATGGACAACCATTAATTGAATCAAACTCACGTCAGTCATTGTACAAGTTACATGCATGTCTAACTTAATTAAACGGGCAATAATTTGTGTCCACATTTTAAAGAAACCTGTGGTTAACCTTGTTTTACTTTGGTAAAGCGTATCTTCACTCTCCACTTATGAAAGTGGCTAGATTCAATTGTCATGAATAGACACGTGTTCATACCTGTGACCAATTTTTTTTTCTCCCCCCTTTTTTTTTTATAAAAAAAAATTGGTATTAATTTCTATCTTCACATGTTAGCACTGGCTGGCGTTTTCATTTATAATAAATTTGTGACGCTCTGCTCATTCCAAGATTTCAGCCAATTGTTAAGCCATGCATTTCCTTCGTCCACAAGTCCATTGTATTCAGTTTTTGGCATTTATTTTGACTGCTTGTGGACCATGTCTAAACCATTGAGAAATTGTAGCTCATACTGTAATTCCTGGAGTGACTAAAGTGGCTAGATTTAGTTAAATGTTTATTGTTTTTCTTTGTCAACACCTCTTGTCAGTTCTCACATTGCTCATCCTTTAACTGTTTGCTCCTCTGCTCTTCCAGTCGCTAAAGCAATTTTTAAACCCAAAGCCAAACAGTTGTAGCATTAGTATGCGGCTGGATGAGCTGCTATGTACTTACAGAGCAGTAGAAAATTCATTGTTACTACTTCTACTTGCTGTGCTTTGGAGAAGGGATGTGACAGCCCTTGATTGGTCAATGGGATATTGACTTCTAATTAACAAATTATTTTGATCAGTCTGGTGATAGTGGGCTGTCACACCCCACATGGTTGCAAGATTATAGTAATTGCTAAGACTGACTGTGAGCCGTTATGATCGAAAGGATCTCGTTAAATGAATTGAGGTGCTAAGTGGAAATAAACCAAAAAATGGTTTACCTCCCTTGTGATTTTTCTCTTTTAAGCGGCCAGTTAGGCTGCCGGGGTCCCAACACTCTTGCTTTATGAGCGAGCCAGTCTGAGCGATAGACTACATGCGAACAATTTCCTTAAATTTCACACGACATTCCCCCCGCAGTGGGGTGAAAGTGGGAGAGGGTCGATGGGCACAACTCCTCAGTCGCTTGGGTATTCCCTCGTTGGGCAGCTCGATGGCGCTGCTGGTTCTGCTGCCATCACGGCGCGAGGGCGTCAAACTGCTCTGATCGAGTAATCTGTGCGATAAGGGCTACGACTCCAAAACTGTCGAGCTGGTGCTTACTATACTGTCAAAACACATACGTATTCGTGGCGGCGTTAGGACGTGGGTGTGCGGGGTCGAGGGGGGTGAAGTTACTAGGCAACAAGTCGATCTCTTTTGGCGGGTTTTGGGTACTGGCGCGGAGTATCGCCAGATCCGCACTCAGACTTGTCGGAGTGTGACCCGTGTCGATATTCCCTGCAACTAAACTTGAGTGTCATTAGTGGGAATTACACCAAACACATGCCCAGTGCGAAAAGTTAATTAAATCGACGTCGAAACGGCGTAGTTTCGCTAGCTATGAATTTCTTATCGGGATGCTGCCGTGAAGACACTGCTGAAGTTCATTTACCTAGAACTGCATACTTCCCAGTTAACACAATGTAAGCTCTCGTAGCGCCTGATAGATAGGCAACGTCTTACGTGCAGTGCATGCGTGTACCGCGGGGTGGCCTACTCTGAGTCTCACAGGCGTCGAGCTCCCGTAATGCAGCGAACGAATTCCCGAAAAACGGACATACTTTCAGTACGATCCCCGTTTTTAAAAATATGTCCTCTGTATATTGCCATTGCGAATCCATCGGAATGGCCCGGTGCTCCCGGCTCCCCTCCCTCCCCTGTTGGTTCCCACGAGTTTAGTGGGTCAGAGAGGTCGCGCAGCTTCCGACATCTGCAACAACGACTTTTCTCACGACGCGGGGTAGGTTTCACCCCCAAAAAAGTCCCCCCGTCATCGCGGGCCAGTCAATTTCAGCCACTTGAGCTGCCTGCCGGGGCTCGCGATAAGGGTGACTGCCGTGTACGCGTGCAACCGTCTCGTGAGCGGCCGGCCGCGTCGCTTCCTCGTTCGATAGTCCACACCTCCACCTCACCGTCATGTGGGCCGGGGCCCGCGGGTCGGGTGCAGGTGTTCCCCTCGCCGCGGCCGTTTGAATACCGAACCTCCGCGCCTTCAGATCAGGAGGTCATGCCGCACCACGCCCTCGCCGCTCCGAACATCGCCTTCCCGGAACCGCGTTTCCCGGACGGCAGAGGTGCTTGGCCTCCTCGAGCACCGCGCCGCCGGGCGTGGGTGGGCGTCCCCGAGGTGTCCCAGGGCAGCGCGGTGGAGAGAGTGCAGGGCGGGGATGTCCCACAATCCCCAGTGCCCTCCCTGTCGCAGGCTTCCCCCGTCGCTCGCCACTTTTCCTCGTGAGCGACCTTCCTCCTCCCCGTAGCCCCCTTCCTCACCTGCATTGAGGTACAGGCAGTGTTTTCTGCGTCTGCAAATGAAGGTCGTGAAATGTCTGTACAAAACGAAGGGGTGGGCAAAATAGTTGACATACCCTCTGTCGCCACACCCAAAAAAACAACTACCCAAAAAAGGCAAACGGGCTACGCGAGACCACAGCGTCTTCTGTCTCACTCGCACTTACTAGCGAGCCGTTTCCCGTCTGATTGTAACCGTCCCACCATACCATCCCCACTTCCGCAATGAGATAAAAATATGCCATTTTAACTTTTTTTTCTTTGCTGGTTTCATGACCCGATCAGGGCCTCTGCTACTTTTTGAGCATGGTTAACTCGGTAGGCTCGGTAGCTTCTCGCCACCCGCCCACCCTGGAGCACAGCAGCCCCTACCCCGCGCTTGAGCCCCTCTCCTCCCCGGTCCTGAGCTGATGCTGGGCTGGGGCTGGGATTGCCCTTCTTGTCCCTTTGCCCTTCCTGCCCTGAGGGTGAGGGCTCCACCACCAAGGAAGGGCTGCCCCCCACCACTCCCCACTCCCCTCACCGGGAGAGGGGGCGTAGCGGTCGCCAGACCTGGAGGGGCAGCCCGCGGACCTACGCCCCCGCCGACGCCCTCCTCCCCCTCCGCGTCACCCCCTACCCCCCTCCCCCCTTCCGGTCTCTGCTCCTAGGGCTGGCGTGGAAGGGGGAGGGAGGGAAGGTAGCGGCCTGGGAGGGGTGTGCTGGAGAGGGGGGAGGGGTGGACGGACGAACAAGGGAAGAAGCGGCAAGCGGAGAGAGATCGAAGAGTGTATCGGATAGGAAGCGGGGAGAAATAGGGGGAGGGGGGAGGTGGAGGACCAAAGGGAGGCGGGACGGAGAGGTAATGAGAGAGAGAAGATGGGGAGGGTAAGGCCGCAATGTATAGTGGAATCGCCAAAGGCCTTGGCGTAGAGAGGTTATCAGTGTCGGCATAATTTGTTTCCTTTCTAACTTGCTTTACCTTTGTTCCAGAAGAGGAGGAAGAAGAGGAAGGTGAAGGTGACGGAGATGAAGGTGAAGATGATGAAGGAGCGTAATGTGTGATCAAAAGAGACATTGACTTTTCAGTCTGGAAAAGTGACATGCTACTTACCTTTCCTGCAACGGAACAAGCCTGAGGCTATGGAGTGGCTGCAGACACCGCTGTACTTCCCATTTTATTACTCAGTTGAGGTGTTCGAGTGTGGAGTGTGAGAGTGAATGCGTGAGAATGTGTGTGTGTCGCGCTACACATCTTCAGCCCGATCCACTTCCTATCTTCAGGTTTTATGGTGCCCAATTGTGGAAGGGAAAGGGAGGTATTTTAAAATAATTTAAATTTGACAAATGAATTATTTTATTTAAACCACTTGTAGAAACTGATTATGTGGACTTCATTTTGGTTTCCTGATGTTTATTTTAATTGTGAATTCCCATCCCTAGAATGAATCCTCACTAGCGTAAGTCATGAGATCTACAATGCAGCAGTTTGCCGTTCTAGATAGCTCAGTGAATCAACTGTCTGTCACGTATGTTGTGAGGAATAATTTGTTATTTTTTTATTTTTGTACAAGTTCAGTTGCGGTCATCTGCAGTGCATTTTTAGGTTGTATTTATCTATTTGTATCATATTGTAAGACAAGCAGTACTTGTTTGCATAAATCTTCTTTGTACAAATAATTGGGAATGGACAACCATTAATTGAATCAAACTCACGTCAGTCATTGTACAAGTTACATGCATGTCTAACTTAATTAAACGGGCAATAATTTGTGTCCACATTTTAAAGAAACCTGTGGTTAACCTTGTTTTACTTTGGTAAAGCGTATCTTCACTCTCCACTTATGAAAGTGGCTAGATTCAATTGTCATGAATAGACACGAAGTAGTGGAGGGGGTGCAGAGGGAAGTTCGGGGAAACTTCAGTTGAGAATTATGCCCGAATTCTGCTCAAGTAGGTCTTGAATCAATTCTCTCCTCTCGCCAACATATGGCTC